TAACACTTCTGTGCTCTGATTATAATGAAGACAAACCTCCTTCATAAATTTAAGATCTGATACATGCCAGGAGGTGACTTCCCCAGGTGTCAGAGCAAAAAGATCATGGCGCTGAAATCTTTATTTCAGCAAAGACAAAGAGTAGGGTGAGTATTTCCAGCCGCAGTCTGGGGGCAAGTTCAGAGAAGATCTACGTCTAGAATATGGGTAAGTGGTCATACGAGAAAATGAGATGCCAGATTGAAAGCAGTTGTCACACAGGAAGCAGAAAACTGGGGAGGAATGGGATCAGGCAGCAAGAGCAACGGGGTCCTAGATACATTCCAAACCCAGATGTTTTCTCTTAATATACTCCTCCCTGCAGTGGTTGCTGGGATTAAATCTATGTAAAAATGAGAGCTGATGCTGAAGGTGATTGTGGGTGCATTAGGAGCAGCCTGCTGCTGTGTCTCCAGCCCACTATCCTAAGTCTTGATTTTCAAGTTTCCCAGAGCCATGCCTGTAAGCTCCCAGGCTTGTGAAATGATGAACAAATGTGATCTACGTAGTCCATACAGAAATGGAATCTGCTTGAAGAGAATGGCTACTCTCACTCTGGTCACGAAGTGTGCTGGGTGTAGAGATGAAGAGAATCCATCCTGAAAATGTCATTGTCTGATTATGATGAAGCTCTTCCTGTTAATACCGGCTATAAAAAGTTACCATCAGCCTGACATTTTTTTTTTTTTTGAGACTTATGTAGCTCTCGCTAGCCTCTAACTCGATATGCAGAACTACCTGCCTCTTGAGTGCTGGGACTAAAGGCCTATGATACCATGCCTGGCAATCCTGACTTCCTAACAAGACCCTTCAGAGAAGCATCACCTGTTTCTACTTGTTCATGGAATTCTCCATATTTTCTAAAACAGATCACTGTTATTAAAGGAATTTAACAGGAGTCTGAAGAATGCATGGGGACATGGAAACCTTATTGTCTGTTCAGTTTCACTATAAACCTATAATTGCTCTAAATAAATTTGTGAATTTTATACTACCTAATGAAAGCCTAAAGTGTATTTCAATTATTTCAATGTTCATGTTACACTTTTACCAGTTTGCTTATGTCTGTTATACTAGTCAGAAATCTCACAGTTCTACTCAATTAAGAAAATAACGACAGCTTGAATTTTGCAGGAAAATTGATGGAGCTAGAAAACATTATTTTGAGTGAGGTAACCCAGACACAGAAAGACAATTATCACATGCACTCACTTATAGGTGATTTTTTAAACATAAAGCAAAGAAAACCAGCCTACAAACCACAATCCCAGAGAACTTAGACAACAATGCGGACACTAAGAGAGACTCACATAGATCTAATCCACATGGGAAGTAGAAAATAGAAAAAGACAAGATCTCCTGAGTAAACTGGAAGCATGGGGACCTTGGGGGAGGACTGAAGTGGGGAGGAGAGAGGCAGGGAGGGGAGCAGAGAAAAATATAGAGCTCAATAAAAATCAACTTAAAAAAAGATATTCCGTATAACTTCAGCCCACCATGTGAAGCCAAATCAGTAAGATCTTTACTTCTTGTCTGCACCGCTTTACTAGGTGAGGTTAATAGTTGTGCTGATTCAAATGATGGGTATACCAAAACTCATGTCTGTAATGTAATCCCAGTGAATCACAGGCTACTCTCAAGATAAAGTGTTTCAGTATGTATAGCTTCTTATGAAGCAAGTGCCTGATACATTTGTTTTGCCTTGCGAACTTTCTTTAAAATATCTCAGTATTCTTGGAACTGGAGAGATGGCTCATCAGTTAAAACAGTGGCTGCTCTTGCAGAGACTGGAGTTCAGTTCCCAGCATTCACCTGGTGGCTCACAACCAGTTTCAGAGAATCCAGTACATTCTTCTAGCCTCCATGGGTATCAGGTATATACACACAGTGCCCACATACACAGGCAGATGAAACATTCATGCACATAAAATTATCGAAAATAACTCAATATTTAGTCATAATTTATATTGGATTACACAAATTTTGTAAGAAAAAACTGTAGCAAAATTTATTACATGCCACCAATTTAGAACATAATAGAAATGTCTACAGACAAACCTGCATATCCAACTACTTCATTTGAAGAACCCTCTTAATTAGCTGTCAGGGAGGCTGTAACTCTTTCTTAAGCCTCAGCTTCTTTCTTATTTATTTATTTATTATGTATACATAATTCTGTGTATGCCTGAAGGACAGAAGAGGGCACCAGACCTCATTACAGATGGTTGTGGGCCACCATGTGGTTGCTGGGAATTGAACTCAGTACCTTTGAAAGAGCAGGCAATGCTCTTAACCACTGAGCCATCTCTCCAGCCCCCTTAAGACTCAGTTTCAAGTGGCTGGTTGATCCTTAAACAAGTTGCAACTAACAAATACTTAATGTTTCAATTCAGTTTTAGTTTTTCTCATTTTTGTAACTAAGATATAAGCATGCCTGTATCATGGATTATAAAGAGTGAAGACGTGTGATTCATCTATAGAGATTGCGTGCATCAGAAGTGCTATCTAAACTCATGAGTTAACTCTCAGGAGCTTCTTAGTAAAAGAAAAATTAGCAGAAATATCTGAACTGAGAGTCCTTGTGAAGAGAGAATACTGGATTCTGAGTGATGGAACATGAAACCCATGCTTTACTCTTCCCTTTCGGTCTCCTCAGGTCCAGAGAGTAGAAAACAGACAAAATGGTGAGTGGCCAATGAGGTGGTTGCTGGAATGATCTTATAGACTATGGTTGCAGTTATTGGGAATTCCTCTCTCCTCTATCATCTGTTTCTTTATGGGGTGTGTGTTGAAGCCTACACAGATCTGATTCTGAAACAATTACAGCTAACTTCTTCACACTCCTATGTAAAAAGGTACCCCAGACAATGGTAGTCTTTGGATTGAAGGTTTATTTCAGTGACTTTATTTGTAAACTGCTTTTGTATCTCCACAGACAAGGCAGGGGTGTCTCCTTTGGAAGCAACTGCCTCCTGAGTTATTTCCACTAACATCAACCCTAGTACTGCTTGGTGGGCATAGCTTAAAGTCTCACAGGTACACTGGCTCATCTATACATATAGCTGATCTGGATCCTCTTCTTCCTTATAAATATTTTTGCTGTTGTTTTTTGTTACAGATGTGATTGGGAAACAGGGCAACAGAAATAAGACACGCCTGTAGGATTTTGGATGTTTTGCTGTATACAATATGCACACAAAATTGGTATATCCCTACATGCAGTCTACCTGTCATTTCCTGATGTCCTGTGGGTGGAACTCATGCTTTGGGCCAGTGGCTCCACGGTTGTTTTTCTGTACATATACAAGAGAGGGCAACAGATGTGTAGGAGCAAGGTCACCTCCTGATCCTTCCCTGAATCCAGAGTTACCAAAACCATCCTCCTTCTAAGTACCTGTCTGCTTTTTCATGTTCTCCTGCATCCTTCAAACATTTTAGGTCTTATTATCATCTTAAGCTGGTTACAGGCAAACACAAGTGTAATGGTCTCTATGTGTTTCCAAACTGTCAGTTCTTTCTCCTAATAGTTGTAGCTGCATTTAGGAAGGGAAAATTCTCTTGACATTATCACCAACATGCTAATTATAAGCTTTTGAATTTATTTCTTCAGTCCCATTCTCAGAACAGCAAACACTAAATTCACATGTAGATGGTTTATAAAAAATATGTATCTATGTGACAAATGTGTGTTTATCTCTATACATATAGACAGCAATAGATGAGACAGGTAGATGGATGGATGGACAGATAGAATGTATGTGGACACACGAGAGCGCAATTATGTATGATATTCATCTTGCAATATATGTCAGAGAAATTATACATCATATAAACAAATGGCCAAAGATGAAAGAAGAAAACCTGGGAATGGAGAGATGGCTAAATAGTTAAGAGCACTGATTGCTCTGGCAAAGGACCTGACTGTGATTCCCAACACACAGGGAAGTTTCCAAGTTCTTGTCTATCTACTTCTGCCTTCTGCAGATTCCAGGCATGAAAATGGTGCACATACATACATACTCACTCATACAAGCATGTAAAACAAAAATAAAACTTTCAAAATAAGGCAGAACATAACTGTAGGAGACACTACTACCTCTGGTCTCAATAAATATACACAACACACATGGACACACACATTTTTCTATACGTTTTAAAAATTTTATCATTACATTATATTCCCCCTTACCTTTTCTCCCTCCAACCACTTTCATACATCTGCCTATTCCCTCTCAAACTCATGGCCTCTTTTCCTTTCATTGTTGATTTTTATCATCTATCATTCATCCACATTTATCACCATATCTATCTATCTACTATCTACCTATCTATCCATTTTTCCAAATACATAAATACAACCTGTGTAGTCTATACTATACTATACTCTCAGGAGCTTCTTAGTAAAAGAAAAATTTACTATGCTATATGGATGCATGATCTCAGCACTGACTACTTTATATTGAATAAAAAATTCGCCATAGTATTTTCTCTGGAGTTGAAACCTCGTGCTGTTGTTGTTAGGTCTTGTTTAGGCAGTCATGTTGATGAGACTTCGTGGCTGTAGCCTGACATTTCTAGGAGACACAATCTCATAGCAAACTTCCTATTCCATTGGTGCTTACGAACTTTACACACTTCTTCTGCAATGATCCCTGAGTTTTAGGTGTAGAAGCTGATATGAGTAAAGAAATTTTGCGAGAAGCCTACAATAAGTACAGTGTTTAGTCAAGAATACAATGACCAGGGGATCTGCAAAGATTCCTGGGAAGATGTTAGATTGTTACGCTTGTGTCTTTTAGTGAGGTGTGTTGAGAGTCAAACTTTCTGAGAACAGAAACAATTGACTTATGTGAAATAGCAAATGCATTGCTCTAAAGTTTTCATAAAATAATGATAAAAGGTTTGGATTAGAAAACAAAGAAAGACAGAAATAGATTTGAGTACTCAAATAAGATGGTAGGTCTTAGGGTTCACTTTCTTTCTTGTGTTCTTCCTTACTGCTTAGAATCACCTGAGGCTAGAGAGCTGTTCCATTGTTCTATGATGACATGGAATTCTAAAGTGACTAGGCATTCTCACATTAGGTTGCTTGAGTCAGAGTGCTTCAGACCAGGCAGAACTCCATCTAAGTGACAATATGGATATTATGGATATTTTCTACTTAACGTAAGATTTGGGGTTTCTGTTTCTCTACCACAGAAATAAAAGTATTTTCATCAATATGGAAACACTCAGAGACATAAATCAGGTAAGCAAACTCCAGAAACACTTGCCGGTTGCCCTTCCTGTAACACTGGATTTACTATGTTGACAAGAGATATACAGCAGGTCTCAGGAGACATTAAAACGTCATGTCTGAAGACAGAAATGAGAGAGCTAGGTTCTGTCCTAAGCTCTCAATCTGTGTGGTAGATCCTCCTGAATGATGGGTTGGCTCTAGAAACGACTAAAGATAATTCCCTTCAGGAATAGAGACTTCTCTGTAGAGAACAAAGGGCCAGAGAAAGAGCACCCCGGCTTTGAGACTAGGGCCAAGGACTTCAAATCCCATCCATCCCTGAGCACATAATCCCACCAATCACTGATTTAGCGCCAGGGCCAAGTACTTCAAATCCCATCAATATCTAAGCACACAATCTCACCAATCACTGAGTTTGCCCCAGAGTCTGACCACAGAATCCCAAACTCAGGACTTAAAAACTCACCAATTTCTGAGCTTGCCCTAAGTTAAGGACTTGAAATCCCACCAACACCCTGCCCAGAAATTCTATATAATAGTTGCCACCAACACCCTGCCCAGAAATTCCATATAATAAGTTCAGTTGGCTGCTGCTTCTTACCTGAGTAAAGATAGTCAGCCTCCTGGTTTTTTCTTCTTCAAATAAATCTTCTTGTGTGAGGTTTGTGTGCTGTGGTGTGGTGTGGTGTGGTGTGGTGTGATGCTTTCCACCCAGAGGAGCAGAGCAGAGTGGAGCAGAATTAGAACAGTTTTACTGTGGAACTCCCGACGCCCCAAAAAGAACAGAGTTATAACACTTCTGTTGGAAAAAGCTTTCCTTTCAGAGCTGCGACGCCTGTGACTCTGTGGTATTCCATGGCTCCTGACTGCCAGGATACCTTTCTGGATGGATGTGTTGCAGCTCCGATAGAAAGGTATGGCATTAGTCAGGAACAAGGGAATACCGCAGTCACTGGAAGCACAGCAACAGCTCTGCTTAGGCCCCTTAAGTGTAACAACTCTGCCTCTAGTGCAAGTTTTCCCAGAGAAAGACTTACAGTTCCGCTAAGCTCCATGGATAGTTGTTACAGCTGGGCTCCAGGGAAAAGTATAATACTGCACGACAAACCTCACTCAAGAGATTTATTGAGAAGGAAAAATCCAAGAGGGTGGCTGCCTCTAGGGTGAAAAGCAGCAGAAAACTAAACCTAGAACAGAGTTTACATAGTGTTTCTTGGGGAGGGGGTGCTTTCCAAGGTGGCTTGGGATTGGTGGGATTTTGCAGATTCTGAGGCAAGCTCAGGGATTGATAAGATTTCAAGTCCTGGTCCTGGGGTCAAGTCAGGGGTAGGGTGCTCTTTTCTTGGCCTTTTTTATCCTACACATTATAGTGTGTTGATTTGAAGAATATGGAAGCCATGAAAACATCTTATGTTAGAGAAGGGAAGCACTGGCTAAGGAAACATTATCCTTTCTGACCCAGTTTCTTGTTTCAGCAGGTGAGATGCAGTATACTTCTCAAAGAGAACCATGCAGAACACAGAGGAAGACAAATCTTAAGACAGGGTCTCACTACGTAGTCTTGGTTGAACTATAATTCATATTCACCTGTCTAGGCATCCTGTGGTCAAAGATTAGATGGTCCCTGGCTTGATGGCTTCAATGAAGTGCAAAAGGATCCCGCACTAATGTGCTGATGTCTGTGGGACAACTGTAGGGTGCCGCAGGAGAAACAGGGAGAGAGAGAGAGAAGCTGGAGTAGAGTGAGCAGAAGTGAATAAAGGGGAGAAATCTGTCAGCAAGATGAAAATGAGCAAATTTTCTCATCCTCAACTAACCTCTCAAGCACAAACTGACCTAGATCTTGTTTGCTGAGGATCCATACCATACTGGAGCACACTGCAGAGGTATGCATATTCTACTGCAGGCATATGCAATGCCTGATGGAGGCTGTTTTCTGACCCATTGTTGCCATTTGGGACAGAGGAACCTGATGTCTTACACCCATCTTGATGAGAAGCAGGTCACTGTCCTTGTTTGTAAACATGTGCCACCTTGTCTTCATGTGCCACATGTCTTCATCCAATTGGAGAGCCATGTAAATTTTCCCCAGTATGACCTATAGCTCATATACCACAGGTAGATCTTGTGTGGGAGTTGAAAATACTATAACCCTACTCATTAATCAAAGGTATCCCCACACCCTCACGTGCATATGGGTTTCTTGGGTCAAAGCAAAAGGGCTGAGTAAAATACATGCTAGCAAACTATGTCTAAGAGCTGGATGATTCAGAAAGAAGACAAAAGCTGTCCATGTGTCCATGGATAGTTCTATAAAAAGGATCAGAAGATAACTGTGAAGGTCTGGAGACAGCCTCACAGGAGAAAGTGGGTGTTTAAGTTCATCTTAGCTCTATATGATGTCTGTACCCCAGGGTCAAGGACCAAAGGAACCAACTTACTGAATATGCAAAGCTTCACACTCACGCCTAATACTGCCTTAACTATAGGTACCTCTTAGGGACATGGAAGCTGCTGCTCCTGCCCCATTTAACAATGCTCTAAGTGCTGGGCCTTAAAGCAGTCTTGGGCTGCTTCTAGACAATGCAAGCAGACACCAAGAACTCCTGCTAACTTGCAATCCCCCGCTAGGATTCCAGTGTCTCCATCTCATGACCAGGGTGACTGCCCCCTCAGCCAGCCAAAGTTGACCCAAGTGTATACTTCGTCTCTGAGTGGTATGTCCCTTGCCTTTAAAGTCACTATCAAGAAAGGAAAACTGGATGATAGTGTTTAAGGCAATGCTGCACAAATGTTACTGAAGAGGTAGATCCCTGGAGACACTATTAAAACATGGAAATGCCCACCAGGGCACTCTTGCCTTCAGACAGTGCTAAGTATCAAGATTCCAAGCTCTGTGCATCAGTTTGGGAAGAGATAAGGACTGGATTAATGTCAGACTGTGTGCCTGGTGTTCACCCAAGAAAATTTCCATTCTGGGGCATTCAGCACTGCCCGAGAATCCTGCTGATGTTCCTGATGTTCTCAGGAACATGAGGGAAGAACTAATAAAACCAGTCACTCAATGCTACAGTTACTTCCCATCCAGGTGAGTCACATGTTACTCCTCTGAGACTCTTCTTGGTATACAATATATCTAAGTCCTTTGTTCCTTTTTCAGGGGTTTTGGCCTCCTTTGGTGAGAACTGGGGTGACCTTCAAGACTCCAGTCATTTAACAGTTCCACAGTCACCAATAACGGCTGGCTGAACAGTGTGAGGGATTCAAGCTCTGTCTTACTCCTTTGGCCTGCCTGGCCTACATTATGACTTCCCTGACCTAAAATGACTGACCCTACTCCAGACATCTGGCCTGCATTCCAGAGAATAGGAGGATCATGCCTTCCCTGTGATACGCTGTGAGTACCATTTCTTTCCATGTCATTTTGGCCAGAATTTAGTCACACCACTGGACACTCCAACAGCTAAAAGCACTTCGATATTAACGGGAGAGCAGAAGCTGGAGAGACAACTTAGTGGTTAAGAGTGTTTGTTGTTCTTTCAGAGGAGTCGAGTTTAGTTCCCAACATCCACGTCAAAAGACTCACAACTGCCTGTATTCCTAATCCTCTTCTTGTCTGTGGGGTTACCTGCATACACATGGCTACAAACACAAATATAATGATGATGACGATAATAATAGTTATAATAAAAGCAAAAAAAATCAATCTTCAAAAATAATAAGGGCAGGGCAGATACTGAGAACGAATGGTTTTGTCTTCATACAAAGTGCCTACAAAGCACTATGAAACCATGTCCTAAAACTCCACAAAGAGCCCTAGCCAGTCTCCTGGCATGAAGGTTTTATTTGCATGCTTACACATGGATTCACCAGCCAACCTGACAGCACAGCAAGTGGCCCACAGAGCTTGTGAGTGCTATCCCAGTGAGGGCTCACACAGGCCAGGACTCCATCACAGGCGCTAACCCGGTTAACACTACACAAACCTGAGAATTATGCCAGCGCTTGAAAACTTAAGCTTCATCCTGGGACCCTGCCGAGTAGCCTCTGGGCCCTCTGCTCTGTGGCTCTTGCTGCACTCTTGCCAGCTCAAGTCCTTCTTCCTCTCATGACAGCAGGAAGGATAACTGCAGGACAGTCTCCTCAGGAACAGAGCAGAGAACCAACCCCCAGCGAGCGCTCTTTCCTCCATTCTGATGACTAAGACTAGAGACCAACTATTTCTACACATTTATTTCTCTGTGAGAAGAGTAGGGAAAGGAATAAAATAAAAATGGCACAGTTGACACACACAAAACAACATGGTTCAGGGGTCAGAGAAAGGGTGGTGGTGAGTAGATGGGTGAGGGGTCCCTATTACAGCAGCAGGAGTCAGTGACCTAGGATGCTCCATCTCTCCCACTATGGGCAGGAACAGCCAGCTTTTCCTTTCAGGCTGCTGCCCTGCCCCAACTTGCACTGTCTCAGCCCCTTGGGAGGTGGACAGAAGTCTTCCCAGGCTACAGAGAGGAGGAACCGTGCTGGGGGAGGGGCCTGGGGTCAGACCATGCACGGGGAGTGACAGTCATTGGCCTCCACCTACCTCCCTAAGGGAGGTACTTGGTGGGGGTTGGAGGGCGAACACCAGAAGCCGGCAATGGTTCTTCTTCCAGCATCAGGCAAGAGACAGAACTGGGGAAACAAGGAACAATCAGGTCTCAGAACAGGACCGCACTGCCTACCTACACTATCAAATGCTGTCCCCACCCTTCTTTCAGGGCTCTATTCTCTCAGGTTCTTACCAGTCAGCGCCTCCTGGGCAAAGTACTTGACATCTACATCCTGGTCCTGCGTCAGCTTCTCCAGGATGGGCTTGACTTCACTCTGCAGCGTGCTGGAAAGGAGGAGAAAAGAAGGTGGTGAACAAGGCTAGGCTGAGACAGGGGGATCCCAGGCAGGAAGATGGCTGGACGAGGGCACATACAAGCAGGCTTGGAATCAGCTAAACAAGAATATTCTGGGGTGCCCAGGTGAGCCCTCAGGTCTTGGAGCTCAGAAGATTCCTTCATTGACTAAATGTATATTCACTGCACTGTATGTCTGGTATGAATACAGAGTTATATCACTCTAGATTCTTACCCAGATGAGCCCAGACCAGAAGACAAGACCAATTAATGGGCATGGCAGAAAGATCAAAGGCTTCCTGATTTCAAGGGGCCCCACAAGTTACATCTACATGGGGAGATCTGCCTGTCTTGTAAGTTGTGAGACATGCAGGCACGTCTCAGAAACAAAAATTTAAGGCTATGAAACAGAGACGAGACATACAGGTATCAATGTTCCCTTTAGTTAGCAGGCAGCTCCTCTTCCCTCCATACAACCCTCCCTCATTCCTAACACTTAAGGTTGCTTTGTTTCTGCAGTTTGCTTGCTTGCTTTGTTTTGGGGAGGAAGGTCTTACTATATAACTACACATGACCTCAAACTATATAGACTAGGCTGGTCTACAACTCACGACCTTCTTGCCTCAACCTGTAGAGTGCTGGGAAGCTCTGTACCACCATGCTATAAGACTTTTATCCACAAAAAGTTATTTACGTGTGTGTGTTTGTGCACGCACTTTTGTGAGTTCTTGGTAATTGGTGTATGTGTCAGGCTTGGATACCCTAGAACTAGAATTATAAGCACTTGTGAGCTTTTGTCTGGGCGCTGGGAAGTGAACCAAGGTCCTCTGCAAGAGCAGCTAGTGCTCTTGACCATTGAGCCATTATCTCTCTGGCCCCCATCTATTTTAAACTCAACATAAATGACTTATTTTCCTGGGTCTAGCATCTCCCTCAATATGATGCCAATAAATCATTCATAATTATACATGTTGCTAATTAAAAACAGGCATCTCTTTTCTCATTACTAAGTTTTCTGTCCTGTGAATAAGTCACGCTTTCGCTGTGTGAAAGTACATAGCTGTTTCTGTCTTATGGCTACTATACATAAGGCCACGTGTTGGAAGACAATGTTGGCTGGTCAGAGGTCATGACTTTCCAGTGGCCTAGCAGTTTATCTCAATAAGCTTGGCAAAATGGAGCTCCCTCCCTCCAGCAAAGGTTCCTGCTCTCTACTGTCCTTGTCTGGAGAATGTTCCTGTTCCTCAGCCTGAAGGACTGACCTTATCTGAAAGCTGTCACTAAACCAGCTGCAGTTCATCATTAGCTTGACCCTTTGCATAGTTCCCTGCTGAGAAGACTTGTGCTAGGAGCTGCCATAGGACCCTACTGCCATATACTGAGCCTTGTGGTAGGAGCATGCCACTTAATGCAAATTAAGGTTTGGCCCCAGGATCACAATCCTTTATTGATGGAGGAGGGTTATCTGTCTATTGTGTTATTTTCATTGGTCAATAAAGAGACTGCCTTGGCCCTTTGATAGGACAGAAAATTAGGTAGGCGGAGTAAACAGAATAGAATGCTGGGAAGAAGGGAAGTGAGGCAGACGCCATGGAGCCAGCCACCAGGTTAGACATGCTGAATCTTTTCCGGTAAGTCACTACCTCGTGGTGCTACCACGAGATTATTAGAAATGGGTTAATATCAAAATATGAGAGTTAGTCAGTAACTAACTCTCTAGAGATAATGGGCCAGGCAGTATTTACATGAATACAACTTATGTGTTATTATTTCTGGGGCTAAGCTAGCCGTGCGGGAGCTGGGCAGGATGAAAAGCAGGCCTGCCCACAGCCCCTCACTACACTTTATTTTCCTTATATTCTAGAATATATTCACTGAAATCTGTCAGAAGGCTGTCTCTGTATTCATGGGTCACCATGCCCACCCCACCTGCCTCCTTCCCCTCTTGACCTAGTGGCCAACAGGCCAAGGGGGACAGAGGACACCCATAGCCACTACATTGGCTGGTGGGTGGTGGGAGGAGGAATACTCATTTCTCTAAAAGCAAGGCCTAGCTCAGGGTCTACACCGACCTAACTGCACCCGTCCACTTAAAATGCTCAGTCTTTAAAGCCATCGCAGGTGGGCATCCCACCTGTAACACAGCTCCCACCTTCCTGGTGTTCAGAGTACTTCTGCTGTAACCCATGCTGTCCCAACAGCCTACGGTGCTCAGCACCTAGTCAGCTGCACCTTCTCAGGTGCTCACTGAGTACATGAAGATCCTATTTTCAAATTAGCACAAATGAACAGGATTCCTCATGATACTGTCACACATACTGCTTTGATGGACAACTTGCCTCCTCCATCTCCTCCCGACTTGCACCTTCCAGCTTCCAATACTCCCACTTTAATGCCACAACCCTCCGTCCCTTTGCCTTCTTCCCATCTTTAACTGTGAGTTTCCTTGTCTTCCCACCTATAAGATTCTAGACAAATTCTTTCCACATAGAAACATCTCCGCTGTCAGCAGATACACAGGTTTCCATCTCTATGAGGCTATCTTGTCAAACTCTTGCTTACACAACTCAGCTGGTCTGTGTGCTGCCCATGTCATGAAGACATTCTTCTGTATTTTCTACAAGTTTTCTTCACAATCCTGATTCTGGTTTGAAAACTTACTTCAGATGAATTTGTTTATGGAGAGGCAGGAATTCCTCTTATTTTATGGGGGCATCCAAGTGATCTATCCATTTTTAGAAAAAATGAACATTATTCCATCAAACTACAATGACACCCGATGTTCCACACACCTGAGTGCTTTGTGTGCTCTGGAAAATGTTTCAGTGAGACATGAATGTCCACTTCACTGTTTCTTAATTATGTATATACATGTTTCCCAAAGCTTCCCAGGGCACTGTTTAATAGACTCACTAGAAATGTTAAGTGTACTTTATTACTTATATTTTGGTTATTTGATGTCTGTGGTACAGTGTAAATTTTAGATACAAGCGTAACTTAATCCACACACATAAAATATCTACATAAATATTGGCTAATTTCATTTTGGAGCAATTCATTGTAGCACAAGACTGCAACTACCACCCTCTCTTTTCTTTCATTCTATTTTGTGGGAATGAATTCTCATTCTAAAACAGAAAAAAAGACTTTGTGGAAAGTAAAGAAGCAGCAGCTAGGGTCATACGCAAGAAGGCTTCAAACCCTGGCCTTCATCTTCAAAATATCTAAGATGTTTAGAACAAGCCCCAGACCTCACCTGTTGTCAAGAATGGGTCCTATCTTCTGTAGTGATTTGGCCACATTGAAGCGGACATTGGCAACTGGGTCCCCAGCCATACGAAGCACTGTGGGCAGCATGTGCTTGGTGGTGATATCCTGCCCACAGACCTCAGACAGCACCTGAGACCAGTGAATGGCAGAAGCATGATTATGCAAGTTTCACTAAGTCCTCATGTCTCCCCACCTAACCAGGCCACCTGGGTCATCGTCAGGTTCCCAGAGGAACATGGGAGGA